ATCATGATGTTCTGTTAGAATCGCTGAAAACTGTTTTCCAAAATTCGCAGCGGGTAGTGTACAGCATCGATTTCTGTGGAACCCAGTAGCTGTCAGAGCAACCCTGTATACAGAAAGTAAAAATCAATAACCGGAAAAGACCTAAATAATATAAACCGACCCAAATTTTTGATTAACTCAAAACGATTTGCACAGTTTGGCAGTCTCGCTCGAAATTTAGCCTGAAAATGATAATTTTTCGCAAACTTTGTGAGCGGTTTTTTTTTGCTTAATTTAGGGACCATCCAAACTTGTTGAATTGGAAAACTATATTAAGTTAAAAGTGGTCGAAAATTATAATTCTTCTTTTCTCAAGAAACTTTTCTATTCCAGATACCGAATCACTTGGCCTGGTTGATCTTCTTTTACATAATGTTTCATTCGTGGATGAATCTGATTGGTGAACTTCTGCAATTCGCCGATCGGGATTTCTATGCAGACTGGTGGAATGCCGAGAACATTGACGTGTTCTGGAGAAATTGGAATCTGCCAGTCCACCGATGGGCCATCAGACACTTATACTTGCCAATGTTGGATATGGGCTATGGTCGGAGCACCGCTAGCATGGTGGTATTTTTTATCAGTGCCTTTTTCCACGAATATATGGTACGTTCATTTTTTTCATGCAGTTTTAGGTTGTTATAGATTATAAATTTCGCAATACTCTCGTAAATCAAGCCCTGGCAAATTGATGAAAATAAAAGTTAAAAAAAAATACAATTTTATTAATATTGTATGTAACTGCACTAAAAAGAAAAAAAAAATGTTTCCGTCATCATTGATGTGAGCAAAAATGGAAGAAAACTTCCAACATTTGGACAAATAGAAGATCTAAAAATCTATTATACATTTTGTACCAGAACCACAAACATACATAATAGGTGTATAAAAATACCTGTAAGATGTGCAGCTGGATTAATGTGACGATGTGCCACTGGAAATCACTGCGTGCCGTGATTTTTTCCTGTCTGGTAAATGTGATTAAATATAGCTTATTCAGTATTTGTCACCTTTAATTATTTTGTATAAATCTTTGTTATAATTGCAATATGCTTTGCAGCAGCTTTTAAACTTGAAAATGAAAAGTAACAAAATAATTATTTATTTTGAAGACTAGAAGCAGTAAGACAAAGGAAGCATAGTTGCCAGATGTGCAATAAAGTATAGCGTTTGCTTTTGGCAACTAACCCAAAAGTTCGAATTAAAAATTTCTCTTATAATCATCATTTTTTAAATGCTGAGAGCATATTCTGGCGGAAGCAACATTATTTGTGTCCCCACTACAAGCATTCTCCCATAGCTTGCTTAAAATACTGTCTTCATTATTACTATTGCAACCGTAAACTGCACACCGCATTTTTAATATTTCCGAACCGACACTTAAAAGTAGCAAACAAGACTTCTTTAGGGTATTTTTCTTCGCAATAAGCCCAAATCAGGTCCCAAACGCGATTTTGAAAGCATTAAGATATACAACACTGCAAACCATACGCTCATATAACTTTCCACTTTTGAACTATTGCGTTTTAAGCAGCTGCTCACTTGAACAAAGTGGGCACCAGTGACGTCACTAACCTAAAATGTTAAAGTTTGTTTTAGGAATACTAGGGAGTTTTTAGGCCCCTTAATTGCAACACGTTTTACATTATCTGTTATTCTGAGCATGCGCATTAGTAAAGAAATAACCGTTTACGTTATTAGAGGATAACGTGTTCTTTTATTTACGTACGAGTAGTAGTAACGTTAATAAGCATCACGTTAAGCAGAACGACGGTGTTGACATATTTGACTTATTTCTAATATTATTAATAAAATAAGCGGCTATAATAAAATAAGAAATCTTTGTAAATTTAAATAAGACTTTCTCATTGATTAATTTACGCCATTATTGCGTAATTACGGATTTTATGTGAAAATTGTTTGGGCTAATTTGTACTTTGGGTGTGCTAACTTCTAACCCATAACCTAACTATTTGATTTTGAATTTTTATTTAATATGTTTGGAATATCTTCCTTGTGAAACCTAAAACTGATAAGGCATTTTTTGATAAGGTCATTTTTTCTGGTCTCAATATTTTCTAAATTAATAATAGCTCTTCGGTTTACAACAACAGGTGGGTCAACAATGTCGTGTCTCCCTGGTCATTTCGGAATGTTTTCTTCCATCTTAACCACTTTTTGTTTAATAACAATACCAACTTAAACTAGCTTTGAAACTTTTCCAAACAAAACGGGATAAGAAAACAATAAAGTGAGGTTTATTGTAATAAGAGTACAACAAAAAACGCACTTAACGTTATTTGCCTGAACACCTTATTTTTTAACACTGCGCATGATCACAATAACGATTAGCGTTTAAGGTCATCGTAATTTTAAGGGGCCTAAAAACTCTCTATGTCTAGGTTATCGTTCGCCTTCATCGGCGCTGCTAATGACAATACGGCTAGTAGAAGCGTTGGTATGTTCATCGTCCTCGGGAGAAAATAAAGTTTTTGATCTTATTTTGATTTTATCTTTTGATCACTTTCTTTTGGGTTTATAATTTCTTCTATTTCTTTCGATTCTTCTGATGTGGTGTTCATAGTTCCTTCGTGTTGAATATATTGCTCTATTTCAGCATCAATATCTCCGCAATTTCCAAGAATTGATTCATTTTCGATTACGTTAATTTCAATTCGGGATAGAGCATCAGCATTCGGGTGCTGTGTTCCTTTTTTATAGCTGATCTCATAATTGTATTCCTCCAGTTTCAATCTCCATCTTACTAGTTAAACGCAAACGTCAAGTTTATAAATGGGCCTTTAGGTTAGTTTGGGTGAGTGATGTTGAATCCAAATGATGGATCCATGACAGATGTTACTGCGATGAGCCACTCGTGTATCCTACCTTGTATTCATTGTATCGCCCCAGAATACGCTGAACACATTCAGCCGGTAGCTTGTGCATGGTTTGTGTTTACGTTTACGAAAACTAATAAAATTAAACTCGATGTTCGTTACGTATTTTTACGACAATATAACATTTTAATTACTTATCTATTTTTTAATTTAACAAAAAATTATACATGTTTTCGATTGATAGAATAATTTTAATTTATCAAAATAAGATTTATTTTTTTAAATAAAAACATTATTGCGCCTTTCGTGGATACTTGTGCCAGAGCCGCACTTTAAGCTACGGATACTTTTGTATCGCAACAAGTCGATTGTTGCCGTGTTGTATTCGCTAGACGGCAAGGAGCAAGCTACTTTTGTATACGCAACTTTGTATCATGTACCTGTGCTACAAATGTTGCGCGACTCGTGTCCACTAGAATACCAAAGCGGCGTAACAATTTTGTATCTCCACAGACTTTTCCGTACTCGTTTCGGTCGATCACTTTCGGTTTGAAAATGCCGAAAAAACTTGCTGCTGCTTTAATTGTGCTTTCAACTATAAAAAGACGAAGACTTGCAAAAAAGAAAAATATAGGTGCCCGAGTTGATAGCGAGAAGAACTGAACTAGGGGCTAAACAATTAATGAAATAATTATGACATGAAGATTCGAGATTTTACAAAAATCTTTTACGTGTGTCTGCAGCAGATTTTGATTATACAGGGTGATTCACAATCTTATGGACACAGAGCAGGGGCGATGTTTTTTTTTATAGAGGCATACCCCCTTTTACCCCCGCACCTTTTTTGTGGTGCGCCACTGAGTTCGTCCGAACACATTTTTGCTGTTGTTGTTCAATTTAAGAATTTTCTGTTCTCTTGCAGTTTTGTCGTATCCGTCTTCGTTTTCCAGTTATTTGCACAAATATTAGTCCATGTAGGGTTTCTGGGTGAATTTTCTCTGAATTTTTTTATATATTTTGTGTGTAATTTTTTCTGGTTCACATTTTTCTCTGAAAGCTTCAAGTGTAAGTTGAAGTTAAATTAGGGATGGCTGACGAGTTAACTGTAAAATATTTTTTTTTTACTTTAATTTAATTTACGATTGAGGTTTATCGGCTGTAAGCTAATCCAAATAAAAATACACAAAAATGTAACGAATATTTCAATTGATTATGATATTAACTTATTTCACAAAAAATGTGAACAAAAGGCCGCAAAAAAATTATAAGAAAATTCATGGAAAATGCGCATATAACTCGAAAACGAAGACGGATACTAAAAAACTGCAAATATTCCGCAATTAATTTCAATGTTTCATCCCTTAACCACTTCTCCATTGTAAAATTTTTACTGCAACAAATCCTGACCCAAACAGCAAAAAGACATCTTAAAGACGTCTTTAAGATGTCTAATTCAGATATGTGAGACGTCTGTATATGTCTTGAAGACGTCTGTTGTTACAAATATGGACGTCTTGAGGAGATGTCTTAAAGACGTCTTGAACAAATGTCTTAAATACGTCTTGAAGAGACGTCTTAAAGGGATGTCTTCTTGACAGACGTTTTCAAGACTGTTAGGAATATAAATAACATGTTTTTATTTCATTATTTTTTTGTATTTTGCCTATATTATACAGGCTATTTTGTTAGCAGACAATTTCGTTGAAGGTTTACCACACCACAATATCAACAGTTTTTTAGTAAAACCCTAGCAAACCAAGTGCATATAGTCTAATGGCAAAGATTTGATCATGTCAAGTTTGGGTAGTTTTTTCTAAAATTGTCTCCCCAGTATGATGGCTGTCATCAGTTTTTTGTCGGAAGTCACAATCTGTCCTTGTACGTAGGTTATGTATGTCAGGAAAGTACACCCTGTCAGAGTAATTTCCTTCAACATTAAATTTTGAACAGGTAGAATAGTCAGAATTACCTTTAATTTATTCTACATATGATTTTGCGGGAGCGTCACAAATAATTGCTTTGATATATACTGCAAAATGTTGATTTTGATTCAAGAAACCTTAATTGATAACTTCAGTTGCATCGTGCACAGTCGGACGAAAATGCATTGACGTGTTGTGGCTTCTGATTGTCATGGTATATTCCTATAATTTCTAAAATGTTTTTATTGCTTGAAATACTGGCTGCTATTGGATATACCTGACTAGATGAAGTTTTGGCAAGTGGCAATCCGTCAATATTTATAAGAAGACCTACTGAATTATTCAAGGTGTTAATTGATTTTTGGCCTAAACTGTTCAAAATACTGTTGAGGCGCTTATTTGTCCCAAAATGATAATAATGTTCGGGTATTACTGATTTTAGTTCAACAGACCTGACTGTTTGAAGCAAGGTTTTTGCATCTAAAGGCAACTTTACAAATAGGTTGTACTGGTTTTAATAAGTCATTTAAAGAAGTATGGGCTATGTTGTGCTTCATTGCCCATTCTGCCAACTTTGTTTGAAATGAGTTATTACTACTACTACTGGTAAAACTATCATAAGTAGGATAACCTTCAAATTCATTGTCGTCTGCTATGGAATCAGAATCCGAATTATGGCATAAAAACTCACTACCGTCATTTACATTAGGATTTAGTGATTGGTTCACTTGTTGCACGCGCAACGTTGAGTTGTTTGAGCTGCACTCAGGCTGTGAAACGACGTCACCACTAACCGAACTCTCAAGGGAATTGTAAAGTTTCTGTCTTTCGGTGGCTCTCTTGGCACTCATATAAATATGATGTTTGTTTAACATATATACATGTTCGCTTCATGTTCGGTTCTGTATAAACCGTAAATTTACAAATTTTAACAAAGCTGAACAGCTAAACACAGTATATAACTAACCGCAATAGACGATTTAATAACCGAAATTAAATGTTTTCACTGCAATCGGATGCACTCGAGCAAGTTCGTCAAAACGTCTTGGACTAGACATTTAGAAGTCGTCTTAAAGACGTCCGGTGCCAGGCATTTACAAGACGTCTTGTAGTAGACATCTTGAAGTCATAGACTTAAAGACATCTTCAAGAGACATACGACGTTCAGACGTAATAACGGTATAAAGAAGACGTCTTAGAGACGTCTTGTGCTGTCTCGGGAGAAACAAGCCACGTTTGTTTCGTACGCAACACAAGCGCAACAAGAAAACATCTGTGTCCACTTAAATGCTCTCGGGCATTAAGTGGTGTATCGCCGCAACACGCATTTTGTTGCGATACACGTTTAATTTGCCCTGTCGACAGGAAACACGTGTTTCCAGCATGTTGCGGTACAAAAGGAGCCAGTGGACCCGTACCTTTCTCTGGAGCCGCACTTTGGCGCAGAGGTAAAGCGGTGGCCCTAAAAATCCCCCTCGCAGACTTTAATAAAACAGCAGGAATGAATCCGCGGTCATCTGACAACCCTTTATCAAGCGATTTAATGCCGCAACGACCGGAAACGCTTCTGGTGGGAACAACCTTGTGCCACGGGACAAAAACATTGTCAAACAAGGATCTTCTACGCATTATTGGATATGAATGGATAGGAAGGCTGGTAGAAAGTGGTTAGACAGCGTCGGGCCGGAGTCGGATGTATATACCGTTATACCGCTGAAACGAGAATGGTGCAGACAGAAATGATTGGATGGACAGAGGAAGTAGAGGATGAAAATGACGATGATCAGCTGGCAAAGAGAAAGAAAAGGTCGAAAATGGTAAACAAACGCGAATGAAGGCAATAAAGGCACATGATGGGACGAGGCTGGACAGTAACGAGAAACGATAATCGCAACTTGGCACAGAATGGAACGAATTGGGTCCCCCGCTAATTGGAGGGTGGCGGTTCAAGGTACAGGTTTGATGGTGGATGTTGCTTAATGCTATAGAGGACGAGTGGGGACATAATGGTGGGAACCCGGACGAGACGCTCTTTAACATGGTCACCGTGCAACCAGCCCACACTCACCAGACCGATCGGAGCTGGTCCGCGGAGCCTCCGGCACATCGGCCATCGTCGAACATGGTCAAAATCCCGCGGTCGTTATGGTTTCGTGTGCAAGACCCCCCTCGTTTTCGTGGTGCAGGGGGTCAAAATCAGCAAGGACGTCGTCCTCCCGTGGGCCCTGCAGTGTTTTGGCGATGCGGATTGGACGTTCCAACAGGACTCCGCTCCGGCCCAAAAAGCGTAAGCGACTCAGGGCTGACGCCGGCCCCATTTTCCGGATTTCATCTCGTCGACGGAAAGGCCGCCCCACTCGCAAATTCTCAATCCGATGGACTATAGTGGGTGGTCTATTTTGGAGAGCAGGTGCAACACGACACAAAACCTTGGAGTCGCTGCGTCGGGAATGGGATCGATTGTCTCCGGCAGAGGTGCGTGGCGCGGCAGCGTTTGTTGCTCTGCCGAGACGCGCAAGGAGGCCACTTCGGAACCGGCTGAGTATGTTGTGGTCAAAACATAGTACACATGTGTCAAAACATGAGTATGTGGTGGTTGTGTATTGTATTTTGTTTTTCTTGAAAATTAAACATTTGATGAGGTTTTTGTTAGAGCTAATTTTTTTAATGTCAACCGGCCTATTGTCGCCACTGTTGGTAATATCGAGTCACTGTAGAGTAAAAGTGCGAAGGACAATATATTGGTTTCCATCTTGGAAAATCAATACGGACTGTCACAATACGACCAGTACTTACCGTATGGTCACTTTCCATAAATAAATGTGCTGATAATGGTCATTTCCTTCTAGGTAAGTGTACCATTGAAGACGTACAAAATATGGGCATTTATGGGAATGATGGGCCAACTACCATTATCGCACGTGTCCCGTTTCGTATGTAAACGGTATGGCCCTAGATTCGGAAATATTGTTGTTTGGTCGTCGATAATCATTGGTCAGCCACTCTGTATTATGATGTATTACCATGATTATATGGTGATCCATCATGGGTCAACCATTGCTGAATATGTTCAAGTTTAAGATTTTGTTTAATGGTTTGAAGATCCGGTATTTTTTTAGGTTATCAGGCTCTGGCCTTCGCCGTTAACAATATGTTCATCCTATAGAAAATCTCCATACCAGCAACTTTTCTTAGTGGTGTTTTCAAGATGCTGAAAATTTTGCGAAACACTGCATTATTATGCATCTGAGCATTTTGGAAAAGCAAATTTCAAAAATTTGAAAGTGTTTTTTGACTCAACCGACGCGATCACCTTAAAAAGTTTCTTGGGAAATAAAAACCTTTGGGCAGAAAGACCGATTGGGTCGATAGCCTTTTTCTGTAGGAAATAAAGATTATTTATATAAATATAAAAACTTTTTTGGCTTAATATAGTTTTTTAATTCAACAAGTTTCCCATAAGAAAACAGGCCACGCCCTCTTAATTCTGATTGTAAGCTTGTCAACGTCGCATTATGCCGAAGCTGCGCGGGCGCAAAGTACGTTATTTGATAACAGTCCGCAACAGGTTGCCAAATGTGCAAAAAATACCGGCAAACAGTAGTAAGAGTTGTACTGGGCGATAAACGTTTGATGTTCTGTGAACTCGTCCATTTAAATCCGTGATTGGCGCTGTTGCCGGCTACCTCAAAGTTGCAAAAAACACTAGAGATTATCATCATTTGGTTTGCAAATTTTAATGTTAACTGAAAAAAAAATTTTGGAAAAAAACAAAAAAAAATAAAATTCGGAGGGACTTAAACTAAACCAGTAACTTTTTTTAGTGCTGTATTTAGCGAAAATGCGATCGCCTTTCAGGAATGAAAATTAATAATTTCTCCACAAGATAAGCGATGACGCCTTGTTGTCCTCGTTGTCCGGGGTGATCAAGGCGTTCTAGGGGTTCTAGTTTCCACTTGATTTTTGGCACATTTTGAAGATGTTTTGCATTAATTCCGGTTAATTTTTCTTGCTTGTTACAATTAAGCGTTTTTTTTTTTAAATAATACCAAGCCACTATCTCCAGGCAAAAAGAGAATTCACCGACAGATATTTGCTAGTTTGGTGGACATTAGGCAACGTGTTAGAAAGTGACTTTTGCCCGCCGGACTGCGTATTGTGATGGTGTTTTTCATTATTATATGAAAAACTCGTGAATTTTAATAAGTGCAAACTAATTGAAGAACTCTTTTCTGCTGAAAACACCACTAAGAAAAGTTGTTAATAAAAATATTCTCTATGAAATTAGCACATTGTCAACGGCTCCGACCAGAGCCTGATGTTATTAAAAAGTCCATTAAAGTACAAAATGCCAAAGCTTGTCTGGTTTTCAAGAATCCTTTAATAAACTAATTGGCCGGTTGTCCTTTACAATGGTTCATTAGACGACTTTATATGAATATTCTTTTATTAATAGGTTTAAGCAGATTAGTTTTAAGTTGAAATAAAATATAGTGTTGTCTTCAGTTGGATCACTCTAGAGTGTTTTGGAAGTTTTACTATTTGTACTCCCAGCCAACTTTTAATTCAATTTTTGTATAAATTATTTCAGAAATACAGCTTCAATATGCTGATGATTTTAGCATAAAGCACAATTGTGATCAGTAAAAACGCAAATTTATCTGCATATTTTTCCCAATAGGCTCCATCCAGTCTTCCATTTTAGGTAGATAAAGATATGTTTGCTTTTGGAACGCATTATTTTATTAGATAAATAGTTTTTGATTAATTTAAAGTTTATTTAAAACCGAAATCACAGACTGTCAGTTTATAAAATTAGATAATAAGTTCCATGGAAGGTAGTCGAGGTGTGGGTGGCTTCATGATAAAATAAGGGAAAACGCCTAAAGCATTTATATTTGCCAAAGAACTGTTTAGATATGTATGTATATTTTTATACATGAATGTACACGAGTAATTTGTTGCCATGTTATTAAATTTTATAGTTTAGATGTTGCCAGTGGTTATTTCAATTCCTGTTTTTCTGACACAAAATAGCTAAAGGTGAATGTTCTCGCCGATCCCCTACCGATATTAACTGGTAAGTAACGTTGGATAAATAATTTTAATGGAATTGTTAACTGTTCAAATTTCCAGTAGCTTAGGGATGATTCGGGAAATTTGACAACGTCACCAAATACGCGATAGTAAATATGTTTTTTTAAAATGCCGGAGTTTGAAAATGTATCAGATATCCGATGATCCGAAAGCAACTTCCTTTGAACCAAAACTTCCAGAGAAAGGGAGGAAGAATATTGTCCTTTCACCCTAAATGCGATTAGGAAACGACTGACTAATTTGTTTAGATCATTATTATAAAGTATATTTTTTGTGATATGAGGGGACATCATGCTGTGGTCTGCCCCGTTAAAAATTTGCTCACTTTGAAGACAATATTTATATTGACTTAATGTCCTTCTGGCTTTACCGGTGGGTTTCTACAAAACGAGTAGAAATAGAAGATTGGTTTTGGGTTTGTTGGATACAACAGATTCTATTCTATAAACTTGGGAAGGCACATAAAATCGATTTTACGATTTTTTTTTAATGTTTGACGCCAGCCGCGTTTTTGATACAATCGCTCTTGTTCTCCTGCGTTTCTCTATATATTTCTCTAAAACTAGCCCAAACAGAAGGTTGATTTTAGGTTCTTTGGATAGGAGAGATTATATTTTATATACCTGGGAAATTTGGTTATTGACGGACATAAAATCGATTTTTACGAATTTTTCAAAAATGTTTGACGACAAAGTCGCGTTTTTAATACAACCGCTTTTGTTCGCCTGCGTTTCTGGATATGATGGGTAACACTATGTTGAGTTGCGCTTTTGAGTTGTTGCCGCTCTTTGAGTTATAAAGTTATGTCATTTATTAAAGCAGATTAAAGCTTTAGGAAACCCGAAACTGGAATTTTAACATCTAAAAAAAAAGGTCGTCAACATTTTCCCAGCAACGGAGCTGAGTTACTTTTCCTGTAGAAACGATTCTTTGAAATAAATTTTGAAGAACCTTAAAACAATTTCAGATCAGTGAGGGTGACGAGTTTTCCAAATAATTGATTATAAACTTTCGCTTGTTCTATGGGGGGCTGAAAAAATTATTAGGGTTTTGTCAAAAAATCGAAACTGCAAAAAGTTCTAGAAAAATATTTACAAAGCGGTTAAGGAGACGAGAGTGTTCCAATAAAATTTCATTTATCATTTTTCACAGAAAATACTTGATTCGAAGCTGGAAATGGATTCAAAATTTTTTACAAAGCGACGAATATTTTTCGCGGGTTTTTAAGTGAAACTTTGGAAAATTGAGCGTTTAGAAGTAACTTTGATAAAACTTTGGAAAAAAAATGTTTGAAACTTTCAAAATATTATTAATAAATTGCCCTTACAATGAATGTAACTAAAAAAAAGTCATCAACATTTTGCGTTGGCGTTGGCGCACCAAGCCATTTGCGCAGCACTGCGCCAACTCAAAAACTCACTAAATCCTCCAGGCCTAATTAACAACTTTTCTAGTAATGTATTTAGAGGAAATACGAGTTTCGACCACCTTTCTCTCATTTAAAGCACTAGTTTTTTTATGAGGCAATAAAGGACGCCATGATGTCCCACTGTTTGTCAAGTGTCACAAATGTGTGGAAAATTTCGCGCATTTGCCAAATCTATGTTTGGTTTATATTTGATAGTTTCTTAGAGACATTTTGTAGGTATTTGGAATTTTTTTTAGTATTGGTTGGCTTGGTTAAGTGCTTTTGTTCTTTTAAATGATGTAAGTCGCTATCTCCATTAAAAATGGGAATTCATGATCAGAAATTTTCTAACTTTAGTGGACAATTGGCAACAGGTGAAGTATGATGGCGTTCTCGTTTGTTATCTTATTGAAAAGTTGTGAATTTTAATGGTTGAAAAGTTGGGGAAACCGTCATTTTCGCTTAAAACACAACTCAGAAAAAGGGTAAATAAAATATTATCTATAAGGTGAGCTCATTTTTAATGGTCATATCTCCTTATTTTTATTGAAAATGGACAAATATGAATATCGGGCTAATAAACTTTGTAGAAATTCAAAATGCAACACATAAGTAAATTAAAAATAAACTGCTGGTGATCGTGTGGTTTGACTCCCTCCGCATTTTTAGTTTTTTTACCGTATAGAACGTATCAAATTAAGCACATCCAGCAAAAAAAAATTCTGGATGACTCACAAATTAAGCTGAAAATCCTTACAAACTTTTGAAATTCGCTTTTCCAAAACCACTTATTTATGTACGAAAACGAGATTGTCGGGTGCTATTTGCTGCTAAATCGTGCTTTAGGTTGCAACAATTCATAACTCCACATGCAAAATTGTCGCTAAGATGCAAAATAATTGTGTTCTGTGCCAAAGTTTGAGCATCTTTTCTAACGTCGCTCATCGATTGAGGGTAGACAGTCAGATGTCGGATTATTTGTCTCTTTCGGGAATTCAACACAATGCGGTGTTGCCACGTATTTTTGGGTAAACTGGTTAACTGATTATTTAATAAAAGTAAAGAAAATTTGCACAAAGTAAAAATTAATAACCTGATAACACCCGAATAACCCAAACCGACCCAAATTGAATGAATCGGAGGATCAATCAAGGAGCGACAATTTTCATTAACTTAAAACGCTTTGCTCAGTTTGGCAACACCGCTCGAAATTTAGACTGAAAATTGCGATTTTCCTGTTTTTTTGGCTTAATTTATGGATCATCCAAGAATTGTTTCGCTAAAACTGCTTAATTTAAAGTACTCTTGAAAATAAAATAAAAAAAACGAAAAATTTGGAGGCGCACAAACGTGATAAATCATCATAATCACCTAAACTACTTACCCGTGCAACTGTAGCAAATAAATCAGGATTCACAACACTTCCGACCACAAAATAACCACTATTTTCCTAGAAACTTTCCAGAACTCTTGCGGCCCTTGTGTAAACATGAAAAATAGATGTTAAAATGAGAGGCAAACTTGTCATTTCATTAAACTCGAGTTTTCGTTGGTTTCACTTCACTACTCAAGTAGATTTAATATTTGGCGGTTTCAGCAAAAAAAAATGTGGATCGTCCATAAATTTATCTAAAAAAACTTACACACTCGAAATCTGCTGTCCCAAAACCAAGTATCTAAAAATTAAATCTTTTGAATGAAAATGAAACTTCACACTTCAATTGTCGCTAAAATCTATAAAAATCCAATTTTTTTGCAAACGGTTCGGCCTATTTTTTCATCCCGCTCATTGAGAGGCACGTCAATAGTTATTGTTAAATTTACTAAATTTAACGACATGCAACGTTGCCGCTTACTTTACCTATTATGCAATTTTTCAGTTATTTTACTTTGACAAAAACTTTCAGTTTGGTTAAAGTGATTTTCCATTTTCTTAAAGCGCAAAAAGATATACAAAAGCAAATATGAATTGACACTTTGAGGAGCTCCAACTTAGCCAAATTTGAGCCAAAACTGAGCTTTGGTGTAGTTTGGCAACACAAGTGTTTTCTGGCTTAATTTACTGGCGATTCAAAAACATTTACTGTCGATTAATTTTGGTCTGCGTTGCCGGTAAATTAATAAGTTTTGATTGATCCGAAACGATTAACTCACTATCACAAACCGAAAAAGCCACTATAGAATTCAACACTCAAAAGCATGTTTCAATTTAAAAAAAACACTAAATCATTAAATGATTGATAACAAATTTACATTGACTATTTCAGTTCCTTTTACTCCTGTTCAATCTTTCCAATAGACTCAGATCGTCCTCTGAAACCTCATCGTCGGAGTTTGGGGATCGGGATTCCGCTTCACTTTTACGACGCGTTGATCTTCTGTTTTGCGATGTTTTGGGCAGGTTCATCTGAAAAAAATACCAAATTGTCAAATTAAATCTACATCGATCACTTTTAACTATTCCGCACTGAAGAGCAATGTGAATTGAAACTGTGTGATCTTTCAAAGATTTGAGAAAATTGTTGCTAATTTTGCGATTTTAATTATTTATTAGAAACTCTCGTTAATCGTTTCAATTAATTAGACTGTGGCCAATTTTATTTTGTTCATTGTCAATTTGCTTTTGATTAATGCCAGTCAATTTCGGGCAGAATTGTTAATTGATTTGTCAGTGTCAAGTGTGTCAAGTGTCAGTCAAGTCAATTTAAGTCACTTTGCTTTTGATAAAAATCAATATAATTTTGATTATTGTCAATTTAATGCCAATTTGAAATTGATGTTTCAATTTCATTTTGACTATTGTCTGTTTGATAACACCAATTTGGGCTTGAAAAGGTATAGTTTTCCTGTAAATATCAAGTGTTCAGTAGAACGTGTTCTGTACAGCACAGATAAAGGAATTGCGCTATGAAATAAAAAGATATTCCCTGGAATAAACTGAAAAAATTCAATACGATGAAAGATGATTAATTATTCATTGTCATTCAGTAAATTGATTTTGCTAATTGCATTTGATTTTGATTTTTTTTATTTTTGATTAATGACAACATAATTTTGATTATTGCCAATTAGCTGTTGCTGTTAATGTCACTTTCAACTCAAAAACTATCAAGTGTTTCTGTCTCTTCTGTAAGTTTTCTGTGCGAGTGTCAGATACAAGTATTACGCTGTTAAACTACTAAACATATTTCCTGGGATGGGCAGAGACTAAAACTGATTAATTATTTTATTAACTAATGGAATTGAATGTCAGCTTAAAATTTACAGAAACAAATTATATTTTTGTTTATGGCCAACTTAGCTTTGATTAACGTCAATATGACTTCGATTATTAACAATTTGCTTTTGGAAATGCGATTTACGATCACTTTTCAGTCATTGAAATTAATAATTTTTCCATAAGATAACGAATGACGTCTTGCTGATCTCGCTATCCCGGGCCATCAAGGCGTCATAGGGACATGACGCGCATTTGTCAAATCTTCGTTTAGTTTCTACTTGATTTTTTTAGACGCATTTTGTGGGTATTTGCATTAATTCGGGTTAATTTCTTTTGCATGTTACAACTAAGTGTTTTTCTAAGCCGCTACCTCTGGTAGAAAGATATTTCACCGATAGATATTTGCTAGTTTGGTGAACATTTGGCAACGTGTTATCAGGAATTTACTTTTGCCCGCCTGACTGCGCATTGTAATGGCGTTTTTTAATATCTTATGAAAAAATGTGTCAATTTTTATAAGTGAAAAGTGATTTAAAAACGCATTTTCGCTAAAAAAACACTAAGAAAAGTTGTTGATAAAATTATTGTCTGTAAATTGATCACATTGTAAACGGAATCTTCTTAAACATTACCGAATTTTGTTTTCATAAGATTAACAGAAAAAGTGTCCATTTGCTTTTGATTAATGTCAATATGATCTTGATTAATGGCAACTCGCTTTTGCTGTCAATCACAGTTGTAGCTGATACTGTCAATTTTGACTACTGTCATTTATTTGCTCTGCTCCGTTTTGGTGCAATTTTGCCAGCCCGATATTTTTTGATCTGCATGTGCACCTGCTGGGATTCAAACCTCGGACCTTCAAGTTGCTAGCCTGTCGGACAGACCGCTCGGCCACCTAATGGCATTTTGATTAACGTCAATTTGAACTTGAATCAAGTGTTTAGTAGAAAGTTTTCTATACAAGTCAGATACAAGCATTACGCGATTCAACTACTAAAAAATTTTCTGGAATAACCTTAAGAAACTAAAAATGATTAGTTAAATGTGTATATCGTTCATTAAATTGATTTTGCTTATTGCATTTAGTTTAATGTCAGCTTGAAATTAGCAGGAACAAATCATATTTTTGCTTATGTCCATTTGGCCTTGATTAATGTCGACATGATTTCGATTATTCACAATTTGCTTTTGATTAATGCTAGTTTGAAACTGACGTAAACCGACTTGAAAAGGTAAAGTTTCACTGTAAATACCGAATGTTTAGTAGAAAGTTTTCTGTATGACGCAATGAAATTGCGTAGGAAACCAATATCGTAATCAAATAAAGTACTTACCGGATCGTGGTCGTAGCATACAAAACCCATTAGACGATCGTACCGAATGTGACCGTTTGCATGATACGCACAATACGAGTTCAGGCACAAAACGCAGCATCGGTTCGTCCGGTGAAAGCAAACCTTACAATTGTGCCTGGGGCATGTGTACTTTTCACCTGAAATCGAAAAAATCAGCAAATTTTCCACATCAGCAGCTACGATTAAATTGAGCGGTACCTTTTGGCATGGTCTGCAAATCGAGACACCGCAAGTGGTAGGATTTCTGACACAAATTGCTATTGCACGTAATGTTGGAGTCTCGGCCACCGCACACGAAACATGGTGGAACCCAAACCTCGATTGGTGCCGCACTTTTCGATTGTCGTTGAGTACTTTTTCGCTTTTTCGGCACCAGCGCTGCATTGGATGAATCCCTTGGTTTTTCCAGTTTCACTTTACCGCCTGGAAAGAAGATGTTTTAATCAATGATTGGATTGACAAATTATCCGACAAATAACGATTGTTTGCCCTTATTTCGAGCTTATCGAAACATTGTTGGGAGCACAAGGATTCGTAGTTTTAAGCCAATAAACCTTGATGTTTGCCGCCTTTAAACGTCAGCAAAATGAATTTTCTATATTCTTAAATGTGTTTTGAGACGATATAAATAGCGCATTATTTTCTATTCTCCCGACTGTATTTTGGTTGAATAAATGGCGTTATATGTATTCCCGTGTTTTGGTTGAATAAATGGCGTTGTTCAGGGTAAGAATAGCATGTCCTTTCATTGAGTGCTTCGAATATCAGTCTAATATTTCACAGTGAGATTTATGGCGACAAAAATATGTATGTATAACATAAAATAAAATAATTCAATTAAAAACAGTGCGATTTTCTATATTTCTATATGAATCAACTTCAATTTAATCTCAAACATTCTCACTAATCTAACTAGAGTTTCATACAATGTTATTTTAATAACCGCAGGAAAAGAATGAAGAGCCGTTCAGTTCAGTTGAGACAATTAGAAGGCCATTGATCCAGACCAGCCCGTCTAATACACATTTAAAAAATGGTTTAAACATTGATAGTTATTAAATTGTTTCGGTTTGAATTTCCGGCCGTCATAAAACACTGTTTTTTTTTTCAAAAAATGACAATATGCTTGTCTTGGATTTTTTAATTGTGTTGCGGCTTGTTGATGTGCTGTGTATCGTCAACACTGTTCATTTTCGACTCAGTTTTGACTTCGTTCCGTCGAGCGGTCGAAAATAGATTAATTCTTTTCAACTACCAGTTTCTTATGTAAAGTTCTGTTCGGCTCAATAAAGTGAAATACTTAAATAAATAAACCAAATTCGTATAACTCGATGTTCGAACCCACAAATACGTGCTTGTCAAAAACAGGCATTATAATTATCATTTAACCTCTGCACTGGAATTTAACTCTTTATAGATATAGTGTACTGCACTTTCTTGGTAGATAGTTTAGTTAGTTAGCTTCGGTTAAATGTGCTCAATTTGCTCCAAGTAGTTTGCTATTCGCAGAATCGTTTTTCTACATTCTTAAGTAAATGTCTGTAGTGTTACACATATGTCAAATTTTTGACATTGACATTCAAGGCGATCATTTCAATATGTCTTTGATTTGTTGCTATTTTCCATTTTTCTAAATGCATTATAGAGGAAACAGCTAAAACAAACCTAGGCATTACATATACTTCTGGAATTAAAAAATCCAATCGATCTGTCCGAATATATATATAGGGTATTCTAGTTAAAAAATTACATTTTCCAATGTCAAATTTTAACATTTACGTCTTGTCAGGTGTTTTTTTGACAACAAATAATTTTATTAATTATAATTTTTCACAGAAAAGACCCGAAGTACGTATTTTTGAGGAAAACTAAAGAAAAATGCGGTTTTGCGTAGAAAGAATTGCTAAATAAAAACATTACTAAAACAGGAAAGACCTAAAATTAAAAAAAAAATTCTTCTTCGGAGCGCTGAGGGTGGCGAATTTTCCAAAAAATGTTTTGCAAACTTTTGCTCTTTGGTCGTTTTTTTAAGATAATCCTAATTAATTTGGGTAAAAAACCTGAATAAAATTATGTGGTTTTTGCGGCAAATTCGAAGCTCAAAGGGGTTTTGTGAACTTCGCAGCAAAGCGATGAATGAGGCAAATTTTCTAAAAAAATTAATTTTGTCATTTTAGGCTGAATAGACCCCATGATTTAGTTATGATTAGTTGAGTAGAAAGTAAAGCAAGAACTAAACTCTACAGAGGGATGGACGTGACGAGCTTTCCAAAAAATGATGTGTAAAAATCATAACCTTTTGAAATACAAAAAAAGTCTCCTTAATTGCGAAAAAATAACGCGTAATCAACACCAAAAAAACATACTTTTACAAAATGTATTACTAAAAAATGTATTTTTTTATTTTGACGGTTAATTCGCCACAAATCGCAAAAACCCGTTTTCAACCCCTAAACTGCAGCCCCATTTCCAATGTTTTCGTGTTGATATTTTATTTTTTCTTCTTAAAGTTGGCACCTCAACAACATTTTCCTCCTGGTCCTAAACTGATATAATTTTGTTACCATGTGAAAATTCGTATCGGCACTGGCCTATTTCCAGACGGATCCGTTTTATTATCCCTGGTTCAAAGGTCGAAAAAATGCCATCTTTATTGTCTAGTAATATTAATAAAACAAGCAAAAACATACTGCGTAAACACTCTTTATAACCGCGATGCAACGACACTGCCTGATAAAAATAAGGTTGCTTCTTGGACTGCAAATAATCTCTAAATAATAAGGCTAATTAACTACTAATAAATAATCAAGACTTACCAATAAAACCGCTACACGCCTTGGCTCCGCATTTGCAGACTTTTTTCTCTTGTCCGACGACCTCAAAGTTGTAATTGAAAGTCAACTCCGATCCTGCATCAATATCACATTTTGCGAACAGTCCAACGCGGGTTTCGCCCTAAAATCAAGCACAATAGCAATAGAAAAACGATTCGCATTTGGTCCGCCGCTTCCATCGCTTACCAGAACAGTCCACTTTTGCGTTACACAGTTCGGATCACAGGAATGGTTCATAAAGCGCGACAAATTTCCTGAAAATCCATCATTGTATCAATAAAATGATACTAAAATTTAAACAGAAAATTCGTTTTTAATCTTGATGGTCTAATACCTTGCCCACGGACATAAAAAGGTCCAAAAGAAAAACACATTTCCAAGAAGAAAGTAAGATTGTTTGTTGACGAAAACCTGGATTTCTTTCGCAGATTCAGGACACATGCAAGCGCATCTCGCTCTAGTGTCCAAAGTTTCCATTACATAAAAGGAGAACTTTCATCGATGTATTGTAAATGTGAAAACATCTGTGATTGTTTAAATTTCTATATCGATTCCATAATTTCATTTTTTGTTCTCAAGGGAATTGCTGCATGCTTGTGTAAAACTTTATATTTTAATTTTGATTTCTTGCTTGTTTCTGTATTTTTATTCCTTCTCACCTGCATACAGCGTTTCCTGTCTTTGACGCAAAACTGTAATGTAATTTTTTTGGTCCGTTTCGACCAATCAGCACTGCTGATATTAAACGAAAAGGAAAAAATACCGTACCTTTTGGCCCTGCATCGATTACCCGGTCGCTGTCCACCGTCATGAAATAGTAATTATCCTCTTTTTTCTCATGCATTTTTCTTATCCGCCTCTGGTACTCTTCAGAATCGATCAGTTCTCCGACATATTCGATGATAAAGCGTCCCTGTTTAATCGATGAGAGCGCTTTTAATCCCCAACCTCTACCTGAAAAAGATAAACAAATTTAATTGACTATTTACTGCGTTAAACTCATTCTTAGTTAAGAGATACACTTTTAACTAGGTATAACCCTAACTACAAATAGCTTTGCAGGGGTGTCAAGTTGAAGTTTCACCTGGCAACATTGCCAGAAGTGACCAATTGGCTTTTTCTCCCCCAATTAACATTCAACTTTAGATCGAAAGTCGCTAGTTTGAGTTGGCCGTTACTTTGTACATTTCAAATAAATTATTAATAAAATAATAAAAATAGTCGAGTCGATAATAAAAAGCCGAGTCCTTTGAAAATAAAAAAACGCGCTGCAAATTTTTCCTTTCGAATCTCGAACGAAAAATCTCTGTTATTTAGCAAAATTCACAATTTTACACATACTGTTGAAAACAAACAAACAAATGCTAGCATGTGGAGCTGGATCGAACGAGCAGCCTAAAAAGTACTACAAAAATATCAAAAAGATGATCAGAAAAGAAGGAACAAACGAAGACTGGAGGAGGGCCATATTCAAACCTGAACTATTTCTACAGTAACTATTTAAAACAGTTTACTATAGATCAAGTAAACAAAAAACCTTCTATTATCTCTCAAATAAGTTTAATGGGGATAGTGAAGAAGGTGAGCCAAGACAGAATTAGCTCTCAGCTGATACCGACTGGAGAAATTAACGACTTTGACCATAATTATTATCGCCAAAGTTCATATTAAATTTCAAGCACACCAAAAAAAACGAAACGAATGAACCTCCTCGAATAATTTGTCCTCTGGTAAACTCCCCCAATATCAGATCATTACTTTACACATCACAGAAAAATGGTTTAGTACAGTACCTTGTATAGAAATTATTATCGGTTTATAACGACAAATCGGCTGGTTTGCAACAAAACATCTATTTGGGGTTATTCATTCACTTTAGGTTCCACCTAAGCGGCAGAACATCTTGCCCTTAAATTATTTACCTGTTACGTGCCGTTAGAGTTAAAGACAGAAATGTATGTTTATTTGTAAACACATCAATTCGAGGTTATGATGACAATAAAGAACAATTTCTCGTTAACACTATTGACAGTTCGAAAAAGTAGCGTCCACTTTTAACGGATCCTGTTGAATTTACCTTTTATCCTTACCCATTTCATTGTCACTTTCTCTATCAAGAAAAAGAAAAAATCTAAGAAAAAATAATTAAAAACGATAGAAAAATAAGGACTATACAAGTCGAAGCTTACTTACCTTGAGTCTTATACGGTGCTATCGATGAATACTCCCTCTTCTGAAACGCTTGATTTCGACAACGAATTCCCGCTCGACAGATATTCGGGTCACATTCCGTCATTAATAATCTGCAAAATGTTTACAAATGAAAAACACCCAATTTTAAATGTTTTGGAAATTTTCTAGTTTAACTCACATTGTAGGTAAGGTCTTTACGAACACTTTTTCTGAGCAATGTTTCTTGTACAAATGCGTTTTACTACCACCTTTCCTCCTGTTAATAGTCACAAAATTTCCATAAAAAAACGCTAGAAGCCCTCGGCGTACGGCTTTCAGCATCCGTGGCCGATGACGCGCGCAAGCAACAGAAAAGCAAATCCCAAACGTTATGAAGATTAACAGTGCAAACGTGGGAGCAAAACGCATTTGCACAAGAGACGTCACTAAGCAAAAGTGTCCGTAAAGGCACAATCTACAAAGTGCTTCAATTGAATAAAACTCAAATGATTAATGTTTGATGGAAACTAACCGGTTAATGCAATTGCTGTCTGCTCCACATGGAAGCGGTTTCTGAGGATTACACTCGCAAGCTGTGGCATTGCTCAGGTCCAATTCCCCGCATTTAACATTTCCAACCGGCTTGCTTTTGTTGATTCTTATATAGGCAGGTGGCTTCAAACTATCAATACCTTCGGCTTCTTGTCTTAATTTGAACTCTGCAACCAACAAAATGGAACACTTAGTCATGGGTCTAAAGATCTTCGAAGGGGAGAGCAAAATGTAACAAAAGAGAATTCAGATTAGTTTCATCAAAGTCTTAATGCGGAATTTTTACAATAAAACCTGCCTACATTTCCTTTAATATAAGGCATGGCTACTTAGAAAAATGCCTATAAATTGTATAAATATTACAGGTTTTCCGGGGACTCTTTTTGAGATTTTGATCCACTTAGTAATCGCATAGGGTATGGCGATCCCAAATTATTTCAGAAAAGCGACGCTTATGTCGGGAAATGCCCACTTCGACATTTTAAACGAGACAACTTGTATATTATTGCACGTTCAGATATGCCTGGTAGATCTGGTTTCCTCTACCAATCTAAAGCGGTTTCCAAAATATTAAATAAAATTCATACATAGACATTTGAAGCTTTTCAATCGATTTTTTTATGGAACACCCTGTATATTCGTGCATGTTAGGGAAAACTCTTAAATTCCCTATGAAACGATATATCATGTTACTATGAATAACATACCCAAAACGTCAAATTTCTGAACAAAATGTCAATGTTTCTCAAAATCCGTGGAGTTTGACGCATTTGTTACAGATAGTCACGAAATGTCATTGATCATTCGAGGCGTGGTCGTTCGATGTGACAGTCACCAAAATTCCCGTGGCGCGAAAATGGTGATTTAGTATTTAATGAGATAAAGCGAAACAACAATTCAAACGGATGTATGTTTTCCATTTTCATCCGGCTGACAACTGGTTTGAAGCCTTGCATAATCTTAATCCATTATGACATTTAATCAGCGACAAATACGTCAAAATAATCGAATTTTCGGCAAACAATTCCACCCTCTTCGAATATTTCAGGTTTTGAGTATAGGAACATGAGAATTCATTTCAGAGGAAACTTTTGGCTGTTCCGCGCATGAACTAGTACACAGGGTCTTCTATTGGAAAAATGCAGTTGTAGCATTAAAGTTGTACCTTCTGTACGCCATCGTGAATACGTGACTGAATCCACTCCGTACTTCACAGTCCGTCTACTCTTCGAGAGACTGTAGTGACCTCTCGCGCATACCCGTGGAACGCATCGTGCAGTTATACGGGACTTACATATTATTGCCGGTTACGAACTGTACTAGTTGAGAGGATTTTCTGGGCAGAATACTCGTGGTACTTTGCCATTGCTTTCCACGAGGTGGCCACAGTATAGCTTAGACGTGTGATAAACGGTTATTTTTCTGTGACGGGTGCAACGTTCCAGTTTCACCTTGGCAATAGGTTTCAAAATACGGTTCCAAAAGGAACATGTTACTTTTTAAATTTTTCATGAAAAATGCAGAATGATGGTGACAGTAGAAATAGTGATGATATATAATGATTTCCTTCATTAAAAACATAATTCTTAACATTGGTAAACTTAAAATAAAATATTCTAAAATCAAAAACAAAACACGGGTTAGAAGTAACTACTTAAATAACAAAAAAACTGCTAATAAACTAGAATGATTAAATAAAATATACGGTTTTATGCTAAATTGTTTAAAAATTCTCATTTTTATTTAATGAATTAACATTTAAGAATAGTTCTTCGCGCTTTTATGCTTTGGGAGGGAGGACCCGTTCTAGAAAATAATCTCTCGCATTTCGTTTCACAATAACATTAAATAATCCACAATAACAACAAACAGAAATGCTTGTTTGGCAAACCTGGACGAAGTATTACGCGACTTAATTTTGGTACCACCAAAAAATAATTTTAAAAACATACGTCGACCTTATAACGTTGATGACTATTCAAATAACTTTTATTTCATCTCTGACTGAGTTTATATTTAAAAATGTCCAGCTTGGTTAAATGCAGGTGCATATTCTGCTTAAAACGTTTGTTTAAATTTATGACTTAGACTCTTAGTTTGCTCATAGCTCATATATAAGTGCACATTCTGCTTAGTTTGCTGGTAATGGGCATATAACTCCCGAGCTAAGTTTCTTGAGAGAAATCCCTTTTTCCTTACAGAATGTCAAAAAAATAAATACTTAGACTTAAACTGCTGAATTATATCATCGCAGCAATTAAACAAATTTTTGTTGGTTCCTGGAGAACTGAACAGTAAAGTGATACACAATCATCAAGGCAATGCGCAACTACATACAACATATTTTCCGTTGACAAATGGTTATTGAAACTGCTGCAACTGCATAGAGCGCTCGACTATGCCGCATCGGTTCTGTGCTGACCACTTTTTCAGGTTTATGAGACGGTTCCAAAATCAACGGTTTAAGTCGGCAAACGGCTGCAGCTGGTGCGAAGTGCGCACGATTGTTTCGGTTTTATGAGACGGTTCCAAAAACAAAGGTTTAAATCGGCAAACGGCTGCAGCTGGATAGATCGCTCGACGGTATCCGAAGTGCGCACCGCTATTTCGATTTAATGAGACGGTTCCAAAAAAATCGGTTAAATCGGCTACTACGGTTTCAAGTTACATCTCTAGTATAGCTGCTAAAAATTTTTCACGTCTCGGCCGGAGATCTCACCCTGCTTAAAAACCACGTTAACTACTGCTTAAAAACTGACTTAATTCGTGCCCTAAGAAACTCCCAGTGCACAATTCCCTTCCAAAGGACGACTTATTGTACACACATTTATTTGGTCACTCTGCATGCTAATTTGAAAAATCGACACTCTTTCTGCCCTAAATTCCTTACATAATGTGAACAAAACACTTACCCTTTTTAAGCCGATATGCGATTTCGGCATCCTGAATAGCCTTTGTATACGACAAGTAGACTTTGTTCTTGGATTTACAAGGTTTGCTTGGACCCCCTTCACTGTCGCCTTCTTGGAACAGAAAGGACCTGCCAATCAACATAAAACGTAGAAAAACTCATTCATAAACACAATTTATAATTTTTTCAGACAGCTTGTTGGGTATTTCGCCTCAAAAATTTTCTTTAAAAAAGACAGATTTTCTGTAATTAAATAAATAATTAATTAAACTCTTACAGCTTGAGCCTAAGTGTGTCGCAGGAGACCCTCTAGGTGATAGTTCTTGATTACTTTTTGATAAATAATTCGTTCTTATTGTGAATCAAAAGCACTATTTATCAATCTGTAATAAAAGACGTGAGGAAATTCTGTCTTTTTTAAAGACTAAAATTTTTGAGGCAAAATACCCAACAAGCAGTATGAAAAAATGAATCCGCCTCAACAATATAGAACTTATCTATAATTTGTAATTTGATTATTCAATTTGGCGTCAGTTTGCCACTAGAAATTTTATTTTTGGCATCTCCTAAAGTAGGAGCACAGAAAACCCGAGAATCAGTAACTTTCTAACAACAGAAAGCATTGCATCTTTAACACGCTCCATCAAATAACGATAATTTTATTCTCGCTTAAAAGCTAGAAGATAAAAACTGAGTTCGTAGGTAAATGTATGCAATGTTTTGTCGGTGGCGCTCTTTGTGAATTATTTTGCGTAAAAATAAAATAAACCCTACAATTGCTTTGAATTTGTTTCAACGGGCCAAAAAAATGAAAATTTGAAATTTCCGATGCAAAACCGGCTAATTCGAACAGTTATACTAATAACGTTTGCACAAATCGCTGTTAAACATCAGAAAGTCGACAAACTGTGAAACAACCTGCGGACCGAATAAAAAGTAAAAATTTTCAAAACATGATTACCCATTTAGAAACTAGTGCACAAATCGATCTAAATACGATATGCTAATTACGATAGTAAAACAGCAGTTTTGAAGAAAACCGTAGGAATTATGGACATTCGTAATTTCCAAGTCGAAGACGGTCCAATTTGAAGTTAGTTTCGCACGTAACGTTTGCATAAATCTGTCCTGAACGTGGAAAAAATAGGCGGTTTCCTGAGAAAGCTGGGCAAATTATAGACATTTACAATTTACAATATAAAACTGTCCAATTTGAAGCTGATTTCCAAAGTAACGATTGCACGAATCCATCTTAAACACTATTATAATGGCCAGTCATTTACATTTTTAAATTCCAAAGTAAGTCGTCCAATTTCAAGCGAATTTCGCAAGTAACATTAGCACAAATCTGTTTCGAATGTTAGTAAACTGTACGGCTTAAAAAAAACTGTGAAAATTATGGAAGTTTCGAATTTCTAAGACAAGAATGGATGGCACACTAATTGGGAACAGGTTTAACAAGTAACGTTTGTAAAAATCGGTCGCTAACGTTAGTAAAATCGACAAAAAAACGTAGAAAAATAATTGATAAACATAATTTGTAATTTGATTATTCAATTTGGCGTCAGTTTGCCACTGGGAATTTTATTTTTGGCATCTCCTAAAGCAGGAGCACAGAAAACCCGAAAATCAGTAACTTTCTAACAACAGAAAGCATTGCATCTTCAAACAACACGCTCTATCAAATTACGATCATTTTAATTTATTTTAAAAGCTAGAAGGTAAAAAACTGTGTAAATTCGTAGGTAAATGTATGCAATGTTTTGTCGGTGGCGCTCTTTGTGAATTATTCTGCGCAAAAATAAAGTAAACCCCACAGTTGCTTTGAATTTGTTTCAACGGGACAAAAATTGGGGAAAAATGAAATTTTTGATACAAAACGGCTAATAACGTTTGCACAAATCGGTGCTAAACGTCAGAAAGTCGACAAACTGTGAAACAACCCGCGGTCCAAAAAAAAATTAGAAATTTTCAAAGCATGATCACCCATATAGAAACTAGTGTGGCCAGTAACGTTTGCACAAATCTATCTAAACACAATGTTTTGAAGCTGAACACAGCTGTTTTGAACAAAAAAACAGTAGGCATTATGAACATTCGTAATATCCAAGCGAAAGACGGCCCAATTTGAAGTTAGTTTCGCACGTCACTTTTGCACAAATCTGTCCTGAACGTGAAAAAAATGGGCGGTTTCCTGTGAAAGCTGGGCAATTTACAATTTCTAATACAGCACTGTCCAATTTGAAGCTAGTTTTCAAAGTAACGATGGCAAGAATCCGTCTTAAACGCCAGTAAAATGAGCGGATTTTTAAAAAATGCGGTAAAAGTTATTTACATTTTCAAATTCCAAAGCACGTCAGTCCAATTTCAAGCAAATTTCGCCAGCAACGTTAGTACAAATATGTTTTAAAACTTAATTAAAGTGAACGAATTAAAAAAAAACTGTAAATGATGGAGATTTGCAAGGATTGCATTCTAGGACAAGAATGTCTAATTGGAAACTGCTCTTGCAAGTAAAGTTTGTAGAAATCGGTATCAAACGTTAGAGAAAAGGGCAGTTTCTGACGAAGAAAAAGATGACCCAATTTGCATCTAGCCTCTCAGTTAGCGTTTGCACAAGTCTGACTACAACGATACTAAAATTGGCTTTTCCTAAAAAAATGTCTAAATTATGGACATTTGTAGTTGCTTACTAAAGCCGTTCAATTGGAAGCCAGTCTCAAAAATTATACGTTTGCGTTAACCGGTCCTAAACAGTAAAATGGGGATTTTTCAAAAACTGTACAAATTATGCGTAGTTTTTAAAGCTACTTTTCAAAGTAACGTTTGCACAAATCCATCTTAAAAGTCTGTAAAATGAGCGGTTTCTTAAAAAAATGTGTCAGTTACTTATATTTTTAAATTATAAAATAAGGGTTCAATTAGAAGCTCGTTTCGCAAGTAACGTTAGCACAAATCTGTTTTAAACGAAAGTGAAATAGGACGCTCCTTTAAAAACTGAAAATTACGGATACTTGTAATTTCCAGGGCATGGCGCTCCAATTGGAAGCAGCCTAGGATGTAGCGTTTGCACGAATCTGTCTCAAATGTTCGCACAAAAAGAATGTTTTTCAACTAAAACTATGAAAATTTCAAACTTTATATGCAACACCGTCTAATTGGAGCTAGTCAAATATGTCTAACATTTGCACAAATCCGTCTTGAACGTTAATTAAATGGGCGGTTTCCTGAGAAAGCCGGACAAATTATAGACATTTGCAATTTCCAAGACAAGACGGTCAAATTTGAAGCTGGTTCCCAAAGTAATGTTCACACAAATCCGTCTTAAACCCCAGTAAAATGGTGAGTTATTTACATTTTCAAATTCCAAAGCAAGTCGTCCAATTTCAATCGCGTTTCGCAAGTAACGTTAGCACAATTCTGTTTCAAACGTTAGTAAACTGTACGGCTTTAAAAAACACTGTAAAAATTATGGAGGTTTCCAATTTCTAAGACAAGAATAGATTGCACACTAATTGGGAACAGGTTTAACAAGTAAAGTTTGTAAAAATCGGTTTCTAGCGTTAGTGAAAAACCAGTTTCTAACGAAAAAAAAGACGGCTCAAATTGAAGCTCGCCTATCATTTATCGATTGCACAAGTCTGGCTAAAACGTTTGCAAAATTGACTTTTTTCTAACAAAATCTCGAAATGATATACATTTGTAGTTGTTGAGTAAAGCCGTCCAATTGGAAGCTAGTCTCAAAAATGACGTTAGCACAAGCCTGCCTTAAATAGTAGCGAAATGCGCGATTTTTCAACCACTGTACAAATTATGGGTATTTGCAATGTCGAAGGCAAAGCAGTTGAATTTGAAGCTAGTTTCCAAAGTAACGGTTGCACAAATCCGTAATAACATTCTGTAAAATGAGAGGTTACTGAAAAAAATGTGTAAGTTACCTACATTTTCAAATTTCAAAGTAAGGGAGACCAATTAGAAGTTACTTTAGCAAGTAACGTTTGCACAAATCTGTTATAAACGATACTGAAATAAGCGGTTCCTTGAAAAACTACGAATTATAAATGCTTGCTTTTTAAAAAAATACTGGAAGTTTGAAACGTTATGTGCAATACCGCCTAATTCGACGAGTGAAACCTTTCTAACGTTTGCACAAATCTGTTTTCAAAGTAACTAAAATTGGCGGTTCCTTGAAAAAACTGTGCAAATTATAGATGTTAGTCTAATTGGACGCTCGCCTAGTAAGTAACATTTGCCGGAATCTATATGAAAAATTATCAAAAAGGGTGGTATCTTAAAAAAACTGTAGAAATAAGGAAAATTTTAAATTTTGAATTTTATATGAAAAACCGTGCAATTGGAAACTTTAGTGAATTTAAAGCTTCTTTGACAATCACTTAGCAAATGACGGATGTGCAATTTGCAAAGCAAAACGCTCCAATTTGAAACTGATCTAGTACTTAACCTTTGCACAAGTCTGGCTCAAACGCAGGTAAAACGCATTTCTAAACAAATATGTAAATAATAGACATTTGTAATTTCCAACATAAAGCCGTCCAGTTGGAAGCTTGCATCAAAGGTACCGATTACGCAAACATGTCTTAATCGGTGTTGCAATAGCCGTTCTTAAAAAAAAACTGGCTCACTTATGGACATTTGCGCACAAGAAACGTTTGCACAAATCCATCTTGAAAGACAGTAAATGAGCCGCTTTCTGAGAGAATGGCACAAATTATGGACGTTTGTAATTTCTAAGACAGGACGGTCTAATTTCAAGCTAGCGACCATAACCGTTAGTGAAACTGTGTAAGTGATTTTCGACTTCAAGTTCCAAAGCAAATCAATCCAATTTGAATCCAGTTTTGGAGTAACGTTTGCACAAATATGCTTGAAACGCTTGAAAAAAAATTTACAAATTATAGATGTTTGCAACTTCCAAAGCACGTCGGTCTAATTGGAAGCAGTCTAGGAAGTAACGTTTTCACTATTCTGTACAATACGTTAGCAAAACGGGTGGTTTCTTTACAAACTTGCAAAAATCATTAAAAAATTAAAATTCTATATGAAAATTTGCCTATTTGTAGCTAGACAAACTTTTATTGTACTTTTTACTAAATGCTAGACAGTACATAGTGTAAATCAACCTTGGGACTTAGTGTAAATTATAAATTTCCATCGTATGATCGCCCTCTATGGAATTATGGAAGCTTTTGTGACAGTAACGTTTGCACAAATATATCTAAAGTTGATTAAAAAGAGCGGTTTCCTGGAAAGAAAACGGGCCAAATTATGGGCATTTGCAATTTCCAAGACCAGACGGTACTAATTTCAAGCTAATTCCCAAAATAACGTTTGCACAAATCCGTCATAAACGTTAGTGAAATGAGCGGTTTCCTTAAAAAAAGTTATTTACAACTGCAAATTCCAAAGCAAGACAATCAAATTTAAAGTCTGTTTTGCAAGTAACGTTTGCACAAATATGCTTAAAACGATTGCAAAATGGATGTTTGGAATTACCAAGGCATGTCTGTCTAATTAGAAGCCGCCTAGAAAGTAACGTTTCCACGATCCTGTACAATACGTTAGCAAAACGGGTGGTTCCTTTACAAAATTGTAAAAATCATAAATGTAAAAATAATAAAAAAAAATGAAATTTTATATACAAATCCGCCTATTTGAAGCTAGACAAACTTTTATTTTACTTTTCCGTTTTATTAAATGTTAGACAGTGGACAGAGTGTGAATAAACCTTGGGAATTAGAAATTTTCAACGTATGCCCGCTAATATGGAATTATGGAAGCTTCTGTTGCAGTAACGTTTGCACAAATAATTTTAAATAGTAAATAAAACGTTATAAATGACGGATGTTTGTAATTTCCAAGGCAAGACGGACAAATTCGAAACTAGTCTAGCAGGTAATGTTCCCCCATGTATATCTACAACGTTTGATTTAAATTTAAATTAAATAAACTGTTAAAATGTAAATTATTTAGTTGCAAATGCCAAAGCGAGACAATCCAACTTAAAGTCAGTCTAGCAAGTAACGTTTGCACAAGCATGTCTGGGATATTAGTAAAGAGAAAATTTTGAAATTTTTAAAGCATGATCGCCCACATAGAAGCCAGTGTGGTCAGTAACGTTTGCACAAATCTGTCTAAAACGTTTGTGAAATGGGTGCTTTTTAGGAAAAAACGGCAGAAACGATGGCTCTTTGCAATTTCCAAAGCAGAACGATCCAATTTGAAGCAAATGGGGTAATAGAGTTTTGCCAAAATCTGTCTCAGACGTTAGTAAACTGGACGGTTTTTAAAAAAATTGCTGAAAATGAATTGATTGGCACATTTGTAATTTCCAAGACAAATGAAATGAACATTTGTAATTTCCTAGATAAGGGCTTGTAATTGGAAGCCAACCGGGAAGTGGCGTTTGCACAAACCTGTCTAAAAAGTTAGTAAAAAAGCGTTTTTTAAACTGAATAAATAATGAACATTTGCAATTTCGAATGCAAAGCAGTCCAATTTGAAGTTAGTTTCGAAAGTAACGTTTGCACAAACCTGTGTCAATCGGTGGCGAAATCTCAGTTTCCTTTTAAACTGTGTAAATTATGAACATTTGCATTTTCGAAGACAAAGCGATCCAATTTGAAGCTAGTTTGGGAAAAAACGATTGCACAAATCCATCTTCAGCGTTAGCAAAATGAGCCGTTAAACTGTGGAACTTATTTCCATTTCTAATTTCCAAAGCAAGGCAGTCCAATTTAAAGCGAGCTACGCAAGTAACGTTTGCACAAGTATGTTAAAAACGTCAATACAACAGGCGGTTTGCCAAAAAAAACTGTGCAAATTATGGATCTATGCAATTTCCAAAGCATAACGCTCCAACTGAAAGCTGATCTGGCAGGCAGCCGTTCCACAAATTTCTATCAAACGTTAGCAAAATGGGCCGTTTCTTAAGTAATTTTTGGAAATAATAAAACTTTCCTATGCAAAACCGCCTAATTCGAGCTAGTCAAATGTTTCTAGCATTTGCATAAAACTGATTTAAACGCTTGAATGAGCGAAGCATGTAAAAACAGCAGTTACTAGAATTGGGGCTTTCTTCTGAAAACGGTAGAAATTATGGATATTTGCAATTTCCAAAGCAAGACTTGTAAACTTGAATCTGACCCAGCAAGTAACGTTTGCGCAAAACAGTCTAAAACGTTACTAAAATTAGCGCTTCTTCAAAAAAAAAATGTTTAAATCATGGACTTTTGTAATTTTTTAGATAAATCCGGTCAATTTGAAGCAAGTGTTTGTCGCAAGAAACGTTTGTAATTTTGAGAGCAAAGTTGTTCAATTTGAATCCAGTTTTGCAAGTAACGTTTGCACCAATCCAGCATAAACGTTAGCAAAAATGACTGATCTTTGAAAAAACTGTGTAAGTTTTTGATAATTGCAAACTAGCAAAGAAACGTTTAGCAAGGAACGCGAGGAACGTTTCCACGAAACTGCATCAAACGTTAGCCAAAAAAACGTTTCTTGCTTCAAATTTCCAGTATTTCCACAATTTATTTAAATCGTGGAAATATTGAAAATTTGGAATTTTATATGCAAAAGCGCCTAATTCAAGCTGGTCAAACCAGTAACGTTTGCACAAAACTATCTCAAATATTAGCAAAAAGACAGATTCCTGAAAAAAGTTCACGTTATCCTAAAGGTTAATCAATGCGAAAATTTTCGCAAAATCTCTGCAAACAGTAAAAAATTGATATTTCCTGGACAAGGCCGTTCAATTGGAACGAGCATTGCAAATACCGTTTGCACCAATGCATGTCAAACGTTAGCGATTGGACGATTAGCTAAACATGATGGAAATTGGCTACTTGTAAGCCAAGAGCCGCCTATTTAGTCACTAATCGGGCAAATAACGTTTGTACAAACGTTACCACGCATCCAGCAGTTTTGCTTCTTCGAGTCTCAATTATGTACTATTGTTTTAAATTACTGTTAAACACTATGGTGTTCGTTCTGTCCGTCATGTTTGATTTTACTTTTGTGTCGGTTTCCCTTTCTCCACTCTGTTTCCATTTTTAGAGCCTGGTAGATGGCTTTTGCCGCCCGTTGATCGATAAAATCCAGTATTGCCAAAGAATATTTTTCCTAATTATAATAGTAATTAACAAAAACCATCCGGTGCATACATTACCTTGCTTTATTCACCCAATAGTGATCGTTCGTACCAAAGAATCGAACCACAAAATCGCCCCGCTTATGCTTCAGCAGTCGAACGTTTAAGGGTACCTCATTCGGGAACAGGATCAGCGCCGGCCACCAGCGGTATTGGCCAAGCTTCACCCAAACCACTTCGTCGTAAAGAGGAAACCGACCTGATTCACAGTCTTCGCAAACATACTAAATAGATGCATTTTAGAGAACGAAATGCGACATAATCAAGAACTCACTTTATCATCATCGGTGAAATTAACGGGTTGGCATTCAGGGTGGACGCTGGTAGGGCATGTGTCACAACATACCAGATTACCGCCTTCCGAGCAGATAAAACACCATCCCGTATTGATGGGTTGTACGCTTCTAGGTTTATGTTTCGGGCAAATAATCTGCAAACAAACGTATATTGCTGTGAATAGGGAAAGTCAATTATAATAAACACGGCCTCATTATTACTATACACTGGCGATAGTCGGCATTTAACGTAGCCGCTAAAATAACAGTGTTCCAGACGTGTAACCTGCAACAGCAGTTACAATTGCCAATTTAACCGGTTATTTTTAGAAAGGTCTCTCACGAACGAAAGCGTATACTTTATTTAATCCTTTCTATTTTATTATCAGTTTTGTCTTCTTTAAGTAGTTACTTCTGACCCATGTTTTGTTTCTGTTTTTAGAATATATTAATTTGAGTTACCAATTTTAAGAATAATTTTTTAATAATGGAGGATTTTTAATGGAACATTTAAGAAGTAACATGTTCCTTTTGATACTGCATATTGGAACCTAGTACCAACGTGGAACTGGAACGTTGTAACGCACAAAAATTAGAAAAATAACCGTTTAGCACATCTCTACTACACACAGGCTTATTTGCTTGCGCATTGCTTACAGATTTTCTACACCGCGTGTTCGTTTGGTCCAGTTACTTTCGTTCGATGCAAGTCGGGCGAGGACATATTTTTACTCGTCAGGTTGAAACTGCTCATTCCTGAACGGAACTGTTTTGAAGCTAAATGTTGTATTTGATTTTTGCAGCACAGTTGACCAGTAGGTATCATATGGAACTTATTGAAATTTATAAGAGTGTCTCCTGGCTGTTGAAAATTAACCACCACAGTACCACGACAGAGAGAGTAAAACAAAGGGCACAAAAAACTCAATTGCAAAACCTAATTAAGGAAATTAATAAAGATGCAAACAAAAATATGGTGATTAAGAAAACAGCCGCTGTGTGGGCATGCTTCAGAACGGAATTAAAAAAAGGTTCAAGCTTCTGAACGATCACGACAATGACGACAGCAATTGAACAAACTGAAATTGTGGTATTTTGATCTACTGCACTTTTTTTAGATGAAGAAATGCCTACAGAAAGTGTAAATAACAAATGAAAAAAAACCGGTAATAAAAATTAGTATTTTATTATTTTAAGATGCAGTTAAGCCAGGCCACGGCACCTTCATTATAAAAGTTGCTTACAAATATGTCTTTTTATCATCTCATTAGTCTTTCATAAGGCGATTTCTTAGATATTTTTAAGATAAAAAGTTTATATACGCATGGGTCCGCACGGCCTTACTTATCGAACCTTCTCTCTCTCACCCTCTCGATCTCTCTCTTGATCTATTGCCGTCTAATTTCCCCTGTATCACAATCTTCTCCATCCCGTCCTTTCGAATCATGTGACCGAAATATTTAGGTCTGCGCCTCTGGATTGTTGGGAGGAGCCTTTCATGATCCCAAATATTTAGCTCTTTGCGTATCGATACATTGGTCCTATGGGCCGTCCAAGGGATCCTCAACATCCTGCGAACTCTGGTTGGGGTAATGACAGGCCACTGCGGTCTGAACAGACACATACACCTACATGGAATCGGTGTCAGATCCGTATGTCCACAATGTGGAACGGCAGAGGAAACATCGTATCACCTTCTAGGAGTATGCCACCACTGGTCGTCCATGAGGAGGCGCCTGCTTGGGGCCTCCACACTCTCCTGCACGGAACTGTCCTCCCTAGAGTGGAGACGGATCCTTGCCATCGTCAGGGAGACCTGGTGGTCTGGGTGGTGAAGAGGAGGGGTAGTAAGGCGGGGGTGGATGAAGGGGGAATGGTGAAAAGGGTCTTTAAGGCCTACTCGTCGCTCCATTCGGGTCCCCCCCACAGTACTACTACTACACCACATTCTGTTGTTATCATTGTTTTGTTGTTTATAAAAACAAGAATTTTGTCGGTATTATCCTAACAAGCATGTGTACATTGCTCTATTGAATTCAATTGATTTCTCTATCAATTGGCGTAATATAAATATTGCGTCTATCGTTCAGTCTATATTTGAGCGACAGTCTTGCTGATCCTCGGATATTCCTACTTTATCTGCTAATATTTTTGTTATGACTTTGTAGTTTTTCGAGTCCGATTTTGGAATTTTTTTGTTAATCGGCATTGTTATGCTAGTTCTTCATTAATTGGGTAATGTTCCGCTTTGTTCTATTTTTACGAATAACTTTACTACTTCTTTTCAGATTTTTTCACCTTCGTTCCTAAGTCATTCATTTAGAATGTTGTCAGTGCCTGTAGATTTTCGGTTCTTTAATTTCTGTATGGGTAGCGGGTGGACACTCCTTTGCGATTCTAGCCGAGGACAAGTCTACTTCAGGCAAGCGTCCCTGCCCATTTCTTTTCCAAACGAGCTGGAGATCATCGAGATTAGCCGCCAATAGATGCGAGCAATTTTTGTCTGGGAAGTTTTCGGCCTCGAGACGATAATTCGAACCTTTCAAATCACTCCTTGTAGGCATAATTGATCAAAGCTGTTCAGACGAATTGAATTTTGAACTTGTTTTATCTCCATATTTGATCTGCGCCGCTATCAAGGTTGTACAAGCAACTAGCTTTTGCTTGAGGGCACATAAAACGGTCATCAACCTGACTACTAACCGTACATAAATGAGTATAAAGTATAATTTTTAATCAAGAATAGTCTTCCAATTGGCACGAAAAAGCTCCTCAATCTAGTTGGAAAGCCTTGAAAATCAAAAACATTGTCGAATAGAAATGTAATTCAACACAAAGCAAATTTGCATAAATTCATAAGCAAAATAAAAATTAATCATGTTTATTTTTGCCATTTTATCAGCCCCAGAAAAAAGTGCTGTTGATTCAACTATGAATAGAAGTTTTAGAAGTCGAGTAATCGAGAAGTAATATTCAAAGAATCGCTTCCAAACCATGCTAAGATTTTAATGTGTCAGTTACTTAATGTAACAGACACAATAGAATGTTTATGGCAATTATTAACGTTCAAAGAATATGTACGTATGTAAATTGCAGATGGGATAAACTTACTTCCAGGAATATTAAAAATGATTATAAAGGTGTTGGAAGAACAATGAAGCTTTCACCATCATCAGAGTCGTCAACATTTCTGCTGTGAGTTTCAAAATGTGCTAATCTTAAGCAGCCCCTTGGACCGGTTTCGAGCCTCTCAGCTCTCATTAGCTGGGTTGAGCCTGAAAACAACCGTCCCGAAAATTTGGTACGAGTCTATCAAAGCCCCAACATGTTTCGAGTCTATAAGCTACTCATGATTAGACGCAGCTCCTGATAGTGTTTACAACATAGAGCGCAGTTGGGGTAAAACTTTCACTTCGGGAGCGGAAGGAAAACCGTTTTTTGTTGTTTTTAATATAAGTTCGCCCCTTCGCAAACTCAACTGTCTCCAACAGACTGTGAAAATTTCTGGTTGCTACACGTTGTAGATTATAATCTAGACATTTGTATAGCAAAGCGCGCAAGGGGGGGCATTTTTTATTTTGGGATCAGAAGTGACAGAGAAGAAAATCATGTGTTTGTGCGATTTTTATGAAAGTTTTCACGCGTTTAGACTAACGAGTTTGCTACACATTCGCAGAATTTCAGGTTGCTGCTTGTTTTAAGTTAGAATCTAGAAAACATTTTAACAAAGCGCGTAATTTGATAAATTATTAATTTTGTAATTAGAAGTAACAAAATTGGTAAAAATCAGGTTTCAGTGCGATTTTAATGAAACTTTCCGAACTTTTAGAGCCATGTGTCGTCTACAAATAGGCAAATTTACAACTAGCTGCTGGTTGACTATTAAGATCTAGACATTTTTTAACAAAGCGCGCAATTTGACAAATTATTTATTTTGGATCAGAAGTTACAAAATTGGTAAAAATCAGGTTTCTGTGCGATTTGAACGAAACTATCAACACTTTCACAGTCACTTGTCTGCTACAAACGCGCCAAATTTCAAGTTGCTGCTTGTTGTAGATTAGAGTCTAGACATTTTTATATCAGACCTCGCAATTGAAGAACTTCCAAAGCTACCAAAAATCATAATTTTTAATTACATGTTGATCTAAGGTAAATATCTAAGTGCACGTCAAAACATATATTAGTTTCGATTAAAGTAGGATTGAAGTGCCCATCAGGACTGAGCGCTACAGACATAACCATTGTCAGAAAGATAGCTTTAAGCAAATTCGACCCATCGCCGCTCTCAGTCTCTCAGTAACTCCTAACATTGAATAACTAACTATAAAATATTTTCAACAAACCTACTGATTTTCTGTCAGCCATCATGTGCACTGCAGTGTCAATGTCACAGCTGTCAAACCACACGTCATATGACGATTATTTTTGCATGAACAATTTGGCAAAAATTAGTTTAATCAGACTCAAAACAATTGTTAGTTGATTTCTTAAATTTATGTCTACAAGACCTAAATAGAGCTTTTTATTGCAATTCGCGGAATATATAATATCGACTGGTTTTTTCGAAAATCACGTGTCTGTAAAAGCTTTTTATTTTTTCAATTTAGTTGAACGAAGTTAGCTATGGAAAATAGTACAAATAATAACCGCATCTTTCAACTTTTGCCATTCAAGTTACTTAGAAATTTAGGTTAGTTTCATTGTAAAAACGGATTATTCCAATAAAAAAAGCGGAACATGATTGAAACCTACATTAGGTGTGAGAAAATCCTGGACAAGCCTATGATTACTTAGTCAGTTTTAATGCGTTTCAATGTTTGCACTGATAATTATGGAATGATAATGATAATGGTGAAATTTTTTTAAATGTCTTACAATAAAAATTGTAGTTTCTATCGTCCAATTTTAATTATTATTAGTTCGTTTTGATTTTTATAATAAACACTTTAGAGAAACACAAGTGTATGTCAAATGTCAAAAATGAGAATTAATTTGTGATAATGTCTTACGTCATTTCACTTCGAATGCAATTTCCTACAACCATTAAATTTAATGTTGTCCTGTCAGTTGATTTGTCAGTCAGTGTCAGGGTTATTTAAAAATCTGTCATAAATTAGATTTCTTCAAATATGTGTTGACAGCTGCTAAATTTTGAGAAAATAAAATTAGTTTCGAATGAATAGAGCATGCAAAACTGCAATTATTTGTCCATTTAACTTTCCTCGTATCTGGTATAGTTTCCAAACGCCCTCTACTGTAATCATCGAAAAAAAATCACCCGATAATACTACCCGATAATGAAATTATATTCAATATAATAAAATTTGCACTTACACTTTAAAGCAAGATCGCCGCATCAATTTGCTTTCCACCAGAATATTCAAAACAAATTTCAAAAACTTCTGCCGAACGTCTTATCAAGTGAATTTATTTGTTGGCTTAATTATGTACGAATTGACATTTTGAAGAAAAAGCGTTGATGTGTGACACCAAATGTGATCAGGAAAACGTTTAAAAGAAGCCACAGAATCTTCGCATTTTGCATTTTCCAATAAAACCATCAACTCACCTGCGCACCACCTAAGATTTCTGATCCGGCCGGAGTGCAAAAAGTTGTTGCGTGAAATGCCGAGGGACATAACAGACACCGAGCCAGTTTGTCACCTGGTAATCTAGTAAGAAAGTCCATTTATTTTATGGCCGTATGTATTATGAACCGACATACCTACAAGAAGCTGAAGATCCAAGTTCCTCCGAGAAACAGGTGTGACATCTATGCGCGGGACAGGTGAAGTCGTCCTCTAACAGTTGGATTTTGGACCATTTTCCAATAGACCATTGCGTCTGAGGCCAAGCTTTCAGACAGTGCATGTGGTAGTAGCGTCCACATCTGAACAACGAACATTTGCGACGAGCAATTTCACCCCGTTTGTTAACCTGGAAGCAAATCAAATTTGCTTTAGTCTTCATAAAAAATATGTGCAATATAGACGGAAAATTATGCCTCATGCGACAACCTGTTATGGAAGTCTAGAGAAAATGTAACATCTTCTTAAAACACCACGCTATACAAAGGAAGAATGGAAGGCCGAATTACTGTTTATGGAACTAGTAGGCACTAGAGATGGTCGGTATTTAACGTAACCGCTATAATAACATTGTTACAAACGTATAACCTAAAACCCTAGTTACAGCTAGCAGATTTAACCGGTTGTTTTTGGAACCGTCTCATAAACCCGAAAAAGCCGTTCGCAACAGCACAGAACCGATGCGACACTGTCGACCATCTATCTAGCTGCAGCCGTTTGCCAATTTAAACCGCTCTTTTTGGAACCGTCTCATAAAACCGAAACAGTTGAGCGCACTTCGAACCAGCTGCAGCCGTCTGCCGATTAAAAGGTTGTTTTTGGAACCTTCCTATCAAACCGTAACGGCGGTGCGCACCAGCGCAGAACCGATGCGACAACGTCGAGCGATCTATCGAGCTGCAGCCGTTTGCCGACTTAAACCGTTCTTTTTGAATTCTTAAACCGTTTATAAGAATTACTGTTCAGTTCTCCAGAATCCATAATCGTTCAGATATGGATCAGATATTAATTCAGCATTTTTAGTCTATAAGTATTTAGTTTTCTGACGTTCTGTAATAGATCTTAAAAAAAGGGATTTCTCTCATGAATAAACTTAGCTCGAGATGCATATGCCTATAATCAGCAAACTGAGCAAAATGTACACTTGCATATGAGCTGACCAAATTTAGAGTGTAAGACATAAACGCCATCACAGTTGAAATGTAAAATACTAAACGTTGTAAGCAGAATGTGCACCTGCATTTAAGCAAGCTGACCATTTTTAGATATAAATTTTTCGTACTTTTACGTGAAAATGAAAACCGCCTTGCCGATGAACTGGTAATCTTAGAAAAATATGGATGTGGATTGTCAGGGAAAGAAAGTATGCTGGTTGTTGGACAGTTTACCAAAAACTACAAGTTGAAAAGCAATCAATAAGTGCGTTTATCTTTTTTAAGAAATTGAGATTTTGGTGCCATGTGCTCAAGCACTTCAATATCTACGATTTCGTGTAAACAAATCGAGCTTCTACTAATAGACCGCTCCGCAAAATTCGGAATTAAGTACGTGACGACGGGGAAATTTTTGAAATATGAAAGAAGAGAGGAAAAAGTATTTGGGAAGAAAAAGCAATTGGACTAAAGTTAAAAATGCTGAACGGGTAGAAAAAAGCGCCGCCTACGTTAAAAAAAAATTATGCATTTTAATGCGATAAAATTGAAAAGGATGAGACAACGCATTTTCAAAAATTTCTCTTGGATGGAAAAAGGTGTACGTTTCATGAAGAACGGCGATAACAAAAACTAAAAGAGCAGGAAATAGAAAAGATGACAGTGTAACCCATCGAAACACACCAGCATTTTTAATAAAGTTCGAAAGTTCGAAAAAACGAATGCGATTACCGAACATTGAACAGCTCAAATCTCGAAAAGTATGTAGCGTTTTGGAAAGAACGCCTCACAAACTGTCGTTTTCAGAGAGAACTTGAACTGAAATTACTAACCTTTAAAAAGTTAGAAGCCAAAATATGAAATCGAAAGCGATTGCCAAAGCACGATGAGCTCAAATCTCGAAAACTGTTGAAATTTAGGAAGTCTTTTTTGAAAGAGCTCCACACAAACTGTCCTTTGCGGAGGAAATTTGATCGAAAATTCCTAACCTTTAAAAAGTTAGAACCCAAAAGTATGAACACAAACGCGATTGCCGAAGGTTGAACAGCACAAATTTCGAAAACTGTTGAAACGCGTCCAGCATATAAATGTTTTTGGTGTGTTCTGTTCTGTTCTTTCATGCGTTCCCTTTTCGCCCAATCTATTCCACATTTCCGCTTCTCGTTTAACTGTTCGTTGAAAGCTATTTATTACAAAAGTTCCGTGAATCTAAAGTGGCGTACTTTCGTGCCTTCCTTTCACTCGAACTGCAAAAAACTTTATGTTTTAACTTATAAATAAATAAGCTCAAAAAATATTGAGACCACTTTAGATGACAGAATATTTCATGGTGTTAGATGCTCATTCTTTCCTTACTGAACTGTTTTTTACGACTTGGATAGTTTAAAGGCCCGAGGCATGTGAAGAGAGCAACATGTTAAGTCCCTCGGTACGTTTCACTTTAGTGTCTGGACCATAACTCGGTTATTTCTCATCCGATTGCGAAAATTCGAACAAATCTTTAAAAGCCATTTGATTCTCTTTCGTTTACTAGTAAACCCTTTTTGATGGCTTCAATACCTTAAAAGCCAAAGGCAAATGAAAATGGCCAGGTGATAAGCCGCGCAATGGGCTTCAGTCTAGTTGCATTGGTAAGTAACTATAGTATTATTTTTGATATTGCGTTTAAAAAAACCACGTAGAATGTACCTCTGAACTGCATGAAAAACAAGGAGGGTCCTTTGATAATCGACAATGTCTGCATTTCAACGCTGATGATTCGTCTGCTTCCTCGGCCAATATAATCGAGTCGGCGGTGATGTGTGCAACATTGATTCCAGACAAATTTTCGGAGCTCTCCGAAACGTCTAGGGTCTCTGCAAACAAATGAAAGCATTGATTATAAGCAAAATCATTCACTGTTAGTCACCTGTTGTCTGAGAAACAAACTCTACATCTGAGCCACTGTCTGACAGATCAATGTAGGTGCTGAAATGCTCAGACTGTCGCATCACCTGCTGCAAATAAACTGATCAGTAGACTAAACGTACGGAGAACAATTGAAACCAAATTACCTGCATGCTGTAATCAATTTGATCAGTCAAGCTCAAATTGTGGAAGTTTCCAGGTAAACTGTCCCTGTTCGGCAAGCCTACGACATATTTGGGCTTAACGGTGACAATTTCGCATTGGCTTTTCCTGCGAGACCGGAGCACTCTGGGTTCGCATGCGTGCCTCACTTTCGATTTCTGCTTAGAACCCGCCGATTTCGATCTTCGCGCCATCGATCCTGTGGTGGCTCGTTGGCGTCCCACATCTGACAAACATTTTATGTGGAACGATCCGCCACACTTTCCTTTGCATTTGTAAAGTTCTCCTTGCCGAAAACAATGATCGCATACCTTGAACAAGCCAAGATTTTACGTAAACTCTTTTGTTTTAAGAGGGTGTCCGTCCCTTAAGCTCAGGATCAAAATGTTACTGCGATAATAGCTTAAAACAACATGATTTGACCTCTAAACTTTCATTGGGAAAAAAAATGTTAGGCTTCGTTGATATTTATAGTCCAAGGTCTTAAAAAAATGCTTTTGTTGCTCGATTTTCACAAAACTTAATGCATATATGCGTGCATGATAATGCAAAATGAACTGGAAAATGAGTTTATACAGTCTATGGAAATTGTGTTTTTGGTGTCCGGGAACATTAATAGTCGATTCGCTGTAATATTAGAAAAATTATCCATTATTATCCATTTATTCTCGAATTAACTTTGATGTTGGCTGATTCGGAAAGTGATCGATTTTCTCAATAGGCATTAAACAGCTCAGGTTTCAAATTGAGTTCGTATTTTCAGGATAGCAGAAGACAGAAGGCAGAATACCGTGAGCAAAAAATCACTCTAAATTAAGTTCGAAGATAAACTTATTGTGTTAATTGTCCTTGTTTCTCGATTTTTCCTAAGTCTGCAATTGGGCCTAACTCAGGCCATCATTGCTCCTTTGCAACTTAATAAAATAATTCAAATAAAATTGCGAATAAGGACAAGCATTTCGTCGGCATTAATGATCCGAACCAGAAATCATGATACGAGTAGTGCAAATCTCGTGGCTCACCAACCTCAGGCACTACCAGGACTGGTTTCGAGCCTATTAACTCTCGTCAGATGGGTTTAGCCTGAAATTAGCCACCGCGAAACTTGCACCGCATGTTATTTATCAATTCGCCATTAACGACAATTCCCACTGCTGCCTCCAAAAGTGCATCTTTGAAAATTCTTTCTGAGTATACATTGAATAGCAACGGAGGTAGGATGCTCCCTTGCCTTATCCTACGCTTGATGGTTACGTCTGGCGTGGTGATTCCCTGCACTCTGACTACCAATGTCCGACTCCAGTATAAGTTTGCGATTACTCTGATATCCGCCCCGTCCAGTCCAATCAACTTGAGGGTATCCACCAGGACCTCATGTTTAACCCTCAAAGGAAGGTCGAAGGCCTTTTGAAAGACTGTGAAGCAGGCATAAACATCAGCCGACATGTCACGCCTTCTCTGGGCGAGGACATTAATGCCGAAAAGTGCTTCTCTCGTTCCGAGACCATTACGGCCCACAAATTGTGTTTCATACGATTTTTATAAATATTAGGAGTTCAAATTAGTTTTAAAAGGCTTTTTTTCAAAATTTGAGACTGTATTGAGCAAAAATGGTTACAAATGGATTATTCAACGTATTGTCCATCGCTACCCACTACTTTTTCCCATCTTTCTGTAAATCTTCGGATTCCAGCTCGGAAAAACAGTTCGTCTTTTGATGCGATTCATGTATCGATCCAGTTTTTCGTTTCCTCGTAAGAGGTGAAGTGCCGGTCAGCCAAGCCATATGATCGATCGGTACAAATGGTAATCGGACGGGGCAATATCTGGGGAATACGGCGGTTGCGGTAGAACATCTCATTTCATCGTTTCCAAGTACTTTTTGACGGGTTTTGAAACATGAGGACAAGCGTTCTCATGTTGCAAAATGACTTTGTCGTGATTCTGCTCGAATTGCGGCCGTTTTTCCTTCAATTCCCGGATCAAACGCATCCATTGTGTTCGGTAGAGGTCCCCGGTGACGGTTTAGTTCGGTTTGTGCAGCTGATAATAAATGACGCCCAACAGATCCCACCAAATACAGAGCATGAGCTTGGATCCATAGATATTCGGTCTTGGCGTTGATGACGATGTGTGGCCGGGGTATCCATACGATTTTTTACGTTTGGAGGTATAGTAATGAATGCACTTTCCATCGCCAGTGACGATGCCATGCAAAAAAAATCGTTTTTTGACGTGCGAGCAGTTTTTCACACGTCAGAAGCCGCCTCTCCACGTCTCTCAGCTTCAGCTCGTATGGCACCCAATTTCCTTGCTTCGCAATCATACCCATCGCTTTGAGACCTTTGCCGACTGCTGACAAGTCAACTCCCAATAATACGGACAATTCTTGGAGCGTTTGACACGGATCTTCGTAGAGTAACGCCTCCAAGTCTTCATCTTCGAACTTCTTCGGCTGACCGGAACATTCCTTGTGTCCCATCGGTGTCAAAATCACCACTTTTCACACCATCGAAACCAGTACTCACATGTTGAAATCGGTGGAGTATAACCCCCGTAAGCTTCCTCGAGCAGCAAACGACTCGCAGCAGCAGTTTTCTTGCGGTTATTCGGCACGAAAGTCGGCATATTGAATGGTCTTGGAATGGATGTTGTTTACACTTGCGCAAGATGACATACTTACAATCCAAGCTATAATATACAGTGTTGGACAAAAATTGATTTTTATTAAATAAATAAAAAATCACTGATTTATTTAAATTAATCAAAAAAATCAAGATTTTTTTGATTTTTACTAAATCAATTGATAAATCCGCTTGATTAGCTGTTTTAAAGTCGTTGCAATTGTTGCCGAGAAGATTCAAGCTAAGTTGAACCGATTCAATACTTGTACCGAACGCATTTTCGACGGAAAATTCTTGTCGCAACGGCCCGCGACTCGTTTCCGCATGTTGCCCGGCGTAATCTATAAATGCCGTCGCCTTTCTTCGGTCTTATTCATTTCGTCACAAAATTTCATGAGAGGCTATGTTGAAAAGTGTGTAGATTTTTTGTGTCTGTGTAATAATAATAAGTCAGTTTGAAAAGAACGCAATGGCTGGAAGAAAAGAAGATAGTATTTGGATACAGTCCTCCTTTAAGTCTCTCGAAGTGTTAACATGTCGATTGACGGATGGTCAAACATTCACAACGAGCCGGTTATATGCGCAACATTAACAACGGAAGATGGACGAGCGCTTCTCTATGAAACCATT